CAATACTTGAACAAAGTGAAGTTACTAGCAGACAACCTTGAAATCATTGGCAAAGCTATTCCCCACTCTAACCTGGTTACTCAAGTCTTGGCTGGCTTGGATGAAGAATACACACCAATTGTTGTTCAAATTAACAGTAAAGATCACATCACTTGGGGAGAACTACATTCAACACTTATGACTTTTGAAAGCAGGTTGGAACACCTCAACACAGTCAGGAATGAGATAGCAGGAATCAATCTTGATCAAACATCAGTCAATTTTTCCCAAAGGTTAGGATCGAACTTCATCACACCAGATCCTATAGGTCAGGTTTTGGTGAAAGATTCTCAAAGTACAACAATTTTAGAGTAGAAGAAGAAGCAGAAACATAGGTGGGAATCTAAATGGTTATGATAGACCTATATGCCAAGTGTGTGGCAAGATTGGACATAAGGCCAACATGTGCAACTTTAGATATGATGAGAGATACACAGGAACATCACCAAACCAGAGGACCAACTATATCACTTTACCAACAGCCTTTGTGGCGTCTCCAAGCACTTTAAATGATCTAGCATGGTTTATTGATATTGAAGCCAGTAATCAAATCACTGCAAATAAGGGAAACATTACTTCAGTAAATGAGTCCACTGGTAAGGAAAAAATTATGGTTGGAAATGGGAATAAGTTACATATCTCACACTTTGGTATAACTCACATCCCAACTTTGAATGATAAAGCATTTGTGTTAAATAAACCGCTTCATGTACCTGATATCAAGAAAAACCTCATTAGTGTTTCACAATTAACATCTGATAATCAAGTTTATATGGAATTTCATTCTAACTACTATTTTGTTAAGGATAAGTTAACGAGGGAAATAATGCTGCAAGTGAAGCTTAATGAAGGGCTGTATCAACTTGATCTTCCCATCAAAACTCTAAGTATCTCTTTAGAAGTCTGCTCCCACCAATAAACTCTGCTGCAACATCTCTCTGTCAGTCCTGGTCAAGACTCTAGTCAAGAGTCTTTAAATTTTCAAGTTGATATATGGCTCAAGAGACTTGAACATCTATATAGCCAAGTGGTGTCTCAAGTACTTAAATGAAATCAAATCATTTTGTGATGCTTGTCAATTTGGCAAATCTTATCTATTACCTATTTCCTCATCCACCTCACATGCCAAAACTCCCATAGAACTTGTGTACACAGACGTGTGGGGACAAGCACCTACTCAATCAACTTTTAGCTTCAAATATTACATAACCTTCTTGGATGATTTCAACAGGTTCACTTGGATATATCATCTGAGACAAAAATCTGAGGCATTAAATGCGTTCATTCAATTCAAGAAACTGGTGGGAAACAAGTTTGCAAGCAAAATAAAAACACTACAAGCTAACTGGGAAAGGAAATATAGATCCTTCAAAAACTTGAGGTCGAATTCAGACACCCATGTCCTTTCACATCAGCCCAAAATGGAAGAATAGAGAGAAAACATAGGCACATAACAGAAACAGGCATGACCCTCTTAGCTCAAGCCAAATTGCCCTTAAAATATTGGTGCGAATCCTTTCAAGCCGCCACTTACCTCATAAATAGGATGCCTTCACCTTTGTTCAAAATGCGATCCCCTTTCCAAGTCCTATACAGAAAAGAGGTTGATTATAAATCACTAAAGATTTTTGGGTGTGCCTGTAACATATGCCTAAGACCTTATCAAAAACATAAATTTAATTTTCATTCAACAAGATGCGTCTTACTCAGGTACAGTGAATCTCATAAAGGCTATAAATGCCTGAGCTCAATAAGAAGAATTTATATCTCAAGGCATGTTGTATTCAATGAGCTGGAGTTTCCTTTTGAGTCCTTGTTCTCTGTTCAAAATCAACAAAATTATGTGGTGTCTGAAACTATAATGTCTTACTTCCAATTTTCCTCTCAATTGAACAATTCTAATCCCACTTCAAGTCTTGATGATACAGCTCATCTAGAAGTAACCAATGCTATGCATCACTCACCTCTTTGCTTAAGTGACAATCAACATGAAAGTGTGAATAATGATGTTGAGGATAATAGCAATGAAATGCTTGTCAGAGAAGAAAATTATCAAGGTATGGAAATAGAAGTTGAGCTACCTCAGAACAGTTAAAGATTTGAATAAGAATGCACAAGTTATCAGCAGCCAGTTAGCAATAAATTTGGGTACAGACATCAACAGAGAGCAAGTAATCTAATAGAGCATCCTATGATCACTAGAGGAAAGGCTAGAGTATTTAAACCTAAGGCATATTTAGGAGAATCAATTGAAAAAAATTCTAAAACGTCAGAACCTAGAAGTATAAATGAAGTTATGATGAATAAGGATGGGAAGAAAGCCATGGAAGAAGAATTCAATATGTTGATAAAAACCAAAACCTGGAAATTTGTGCCTCCATTACCAACCTACAACATAGTAGGGAACAAATAGGTTTTTAGAATAAAACGAAACATAGATGGATCAGTTTAGAGGCTCAAGGCAAAGCTGGTAGCCAAAGGATTTCATCAGGCGCTTGGAATTAATTTTTATGAAACTTTCAGCCTAGTTATTAAGGCATAAACATTGAGAATTATACTTACTCTGGCGGTGTCAAAGGGATGAAAAATTAGGCAAGTTGACATCAATAATGTCTTCTTAAATGGATCACTTGAATAGTTGGTATATATAAATCAACTGAGGGATTCATAGATAAATCAAAACCTGATCATGTATGCAAATTGGAAAAGCAATCTATGGACTGAAGCAGACACCTAGAGCTTGGTATGATAAGCTGAAAACAACACTGATAGGCTGGAAGTTCAAACAATCAATAGTAGACACATCGCTATTTTTCTTCAAGAATGAAAGACATGTCATTTTTGCACTCATCTATGTAGATGACATTGTTGTGACAGGAAATGATATGGAGCTATTGCAAGGATTTATAAATCAATTGAACAAAACATTTGTACTTGTACTGAAAGATTTGGGACAAACTTCATCATTTTCTGGGAATTGAAGTATTTTGGCATGATTCAGAACTTCACCTGAAACAGATAAGATACATTGCTGAGTTACTTAAGAAATTTGAACTACAAAACTTGAAGCCTTGTCCTACTCCTATTCTTGATGGCAAAACCATGTTACAGGCTGATGGAGAAGTATTAAAGAATCCCTCACTTTATAGAAGTGCAGTAGTGGGTTGCCTGACATCACCTTTGCTATGAATAAACTGTGTTAGTTTTTGCAATCACCAACATCCACATATTGGCAGGCATTAAAGAGGGTGCTTAGATACCTCAAAGGAACAACGAATCAAGGAATATGGATACAAAGAGAAGACAGACTAAACCTAAATGGATACTTAGATGCAGATTGGGTCTAGATAACAGGAGATCAACATTGCATCTTCTTAGGAGACAACCTAATAGCTTTGTCATCAAAGAAACAACATGTAGTTACTAGATCTAGTACAGAGTCAGAGTACAGAGCTCTTGTATCAGCAGCCTCAGAAATTGCATGGATTCAATCATTGTTCAAAGAACTTGAACTGCCACAAGTATTGACCCCAGTTTTATGGTGTGACAACATGAGTGCAAGTGCCTTAGCAGTCAATCCAGTGTATCATGCCAGAACAATATTCTTGACAAGGAATTGGAAGTAAGATATGTGCCTTCGTCTGATCAAATTGCAGACCTATTGACCAAAGGCCTCACTCACTCCAGGTTTCTCTTCCTCAAAGAAAAGGTTGGAGCTACTTCAGTACCGTCCAACTTGAAGGGGGTGTCAAGAGTTAACGTTTACATTTACAGGTTTCAGCTCTACATCAGCCTAACTAACCATCACTTGCTGCTATCATTGTTGTATCATTTTCTGTTGCACAAGAATGCTCCTATTAGCTTTTTGTTGTAAAATAGATTCCTAACATCTTCCATAATTCAAGGAACCAACTTACAGCTGTACACTCTAGAATATTCCTTTCACATTCTTTGTAATATATATCAGCATATTGCTGAAGCAATCATGCATCATTGAATTATAATTCAATTGGCTTTGCATTTCTAACTTAGAACAATGATTTTAGGTTGAAAAAATGTTGGGTTTTACAACGTTTATTGTCGGGCTTAATTTCATGCTTGCATTAGCCATTGACTATTTTGCCTTAAAAACAGTTGTAATTATGCCCCCGTTTGGCACCCATTTTTTTCTTATTCTCATTCTTATTCTTTTTCTCTCTCTTCACTTCAACCACACATTCTATCAATAAAATAATATTACACATAAACCTAAAAATTTTCTTTACTTTTAAGCACACATTCTTTCATCAATCACTATTCAAAAACACATTTTTCTACTAAAATGGGTGTCAAACACCCCCTATATGTCTAATTAAGAATATACTAATGTTGGTTAGGGGGTGTTTGATAATATTATTGAGGGAATAATGTATTTTAAATAGTGATATGATGAGAAATATGTGGTTAAAAGTAAGGAAAAGTTATTGATTTGATGTAAAATATTATTTTATAGAGAATGCGTGGTTAAAAATGAGTTTTGAAAGAATGTGTGTCAAACATGGCTTAATCTATTATTAACTATCAACCTCCAATTTAAGTGGTTCTCCATTTTTCCAGCCAACTGCATACGTGATATATATCTTTACAAAATTCTTAGGTACTACAGCCCTAGGAAATCCTTTGGTTTTCTACAATGTTGCATAAAGAAAATCTCTCATAAAACCACGGCTTCCCCCAAAGAAGTGAAAAACCGAATTACTGGTCCAAAGTTTCCAGTAATTCGCGTGTTGGTGTCGCGGGAAGAAGGCTGGTGAGAAAACAAAAGATATATATAAAAAGAAGATCAAGAATTTCTAGCGCTGCAAATGAAGATGAATATTATTCATAATTCATTACTTCTCCTCTTCATCGTCCTCACCTTTGTTTTAACATTTACGATCTCTCATAGAGATACAGCTTATTATGATGATTATATGAAGAAAATGGCTAACGATGCTTTGAAGGATTCGTTCAAGGCGTATAACCCTAATCCTGAGGAACTCACTGATCAATTTAATGAACAAGTTGACGAGTAAGTTATTAAATTTCTATGAAGATTTTTGTTAAATCACCTTTTCTTAAAATGATCTTTTTGTTAAACTATCCTATCTAAAAAACTAAGGTGTCTTCAACATGCCATATCATATAGAGGCCAAATTGATTTTTTCATCAACGACTTTTCGGTTACACAACTTTTATAAATTACTGGAGGTAAGACTTGAGAACAAAACCTTTGTCGTTGTCGCTCCCGTATTATGTTAAAATATTTCATGTAGAAGTTAAGGGGATCAATGCATTTATTTAATTTGACTTCAATAATTTCTGTTTTTTATTTTTCAAGTAAAGTTATTGTGATTATGGCCTAGTTCGCAAATTAAATTTCCTTGAAATATATATTCTTGTCTAAATCTTTCAACATTATTATTTTCATGGGTTTTTTAAATTTTCTCTCTCATGCAGGGTATTAATACATGGTAATGTCACGAGGAGACACCTAAAAGAAGGTGACTGCAAGGCAACGAATCCCATCGATAGATGCTGGAGGTGCAACCCTAACTGGGCTAGAAACAGAAAAAGGCTAGCAGATTGCGCCAAGGGTTTCGGCCGCCACACGACTGGTGGGAGAGACGGGCTTTATTATGTCGTTAACCATCCTTCGGACGACGATATGCAAAACCCTAAACCTGGTACCCTTCGCCATGCAGTGATTCAAAATATGCCATTATGGATAATCTTTAAACACAGTATGTTTATCAGACTCCAACAAGAACTCATTTTCACTAGTGACAAGACCATTGATGGTAGAGGAGTAGAAGTCCATATTGCTCATGGGGCTGGAATTACTCTCCAATTTGTGAAGAATATTATAATCCACAATATTAAAATTCATCATATTGTGCCTGCACCTGGTGGCCTGATCAGGGATTCTGTTGATCATTTTGGGCTTCGGACAAGAAGTGATGGAGATGGGATTTCCGTATTTGGAGCAAGCAATATTTGGATCGACCATGTTTCCTTGTCAAAGTGTACTGATGGCCTCATTGATGCTATCATGGGTTCAACAGCTATTACTATCTCCAATTGCAAATTCAATAATCATAATGATGTAAGTTGAACCAACCATTTTACTTAAAACGTGTTTTTTTCCTAGCTTAATTAAATGCTTTAAACATAGAATATTTCCATTTAATGGAGGGCTGTGAAACTTGAACTTAAATTTATTTTTTCATATTCTCTTTTATACTACCACATTAAACACTTAAGCTCATGTTTGACAATCATTATTTTCAAACTTTTTTTCTGTATATTCATTTTCAACCATACATTCATACAATAAAATATTCTATCAAAAAATCCAAAACTTTTCCCTACTTTTTAGCTCACATTCTCCTAAAAATTACTATTCAAAACTCTATTTTTCGCAAATAATAGTTGTGAAGCAGGGGCTCGTGACCCATCACATCTCATTTTCTTGTATCTTGAGTAAGATTTATAGGATAATGTTTTGTATACATGGTGCAGGTAATGCTGTTAGGCGCAGATGATGAACACGGTAGAGATGTCATCATGCAGACTACAATTGCATTTAATCGTTTTGGAAAGGGTTTGGTTCAAAGGATGCCGAGGTGTCGATGGGGGTTCTTCCATATCGTCAATAATGACTATTCTCAGTGGCAAATGTACGCGATTGGCGGCAGCGCCCATCCCACCATTATCAGCCAAGGCAACCGATTCAAGGCCTCAAATCATCCTTTTACTAAGCAGGTAATAAATTGAAAAAAATTCAGCTCCAAGTCCATTCTAACATATAGGTGCAACTTTGGTTTGAGTAATGCTATTTGCACTTGCTCATTACCGTAGTCGTCCTATGTGGTGTAAGACGACCATGATAGTGAACAAATGTAAATAACATTGTCATGAATCATTCTAATACTTTTGGTGTATGAAATACATAGGTGACCAAGAGGCAAGAAGCTGGGGAGAGTGAGTGGATGAAATGGCAATGGAGATCGGAGGGAGACAAGTTTCAAAATGGAGCCTACTTTGTCGAGTCAGGGCCACCAATTAAGCACACGATAACATATCCATTGAATTTGAAACATAAGAATATGATGAAATTCAGACCGGGTTCATATGCTGGCAGACTAACACGATACGCCGGTGCAATCAAGTGCAGGGTTGGCGAACTCTGCTAAAATTGTTTCATTTATTTTGAAAATCTTTATACAATGTAATAGTTGTCAACATTATAAAACAAGGAAGAGGAAGAAGAGAAATATATTACTAATCTTATCTTGTTTATGTTTTTAGCTTTTTTTGTTTTTGTTTTTTTTAGTTTAGCCTATGTGCGGGCTCCATTTTTATAAAAATTCATTTTTCAACACTTAATTTCAACCACATGTTCTCATATAAAAAAATTTTACATGTAAACTGAAAGCTTTTCCTTATTTTTAACCACACATTCTTACTATTTCAAAATGTATTTTCTTGAAAAAAGTGGAGCCTAAACGTTTTTTTTTTAATGTGCAAGGTAGCATCACACCAAAATTATGTGATGATTAGGTTAAAAGGTTTCAAAAAAAGAACTGAATAGTACTCAATAAAAGAAAGAAGAAGAGTAATTTTCAGTCATATTAGATAATAATATTTAACATGCCCATAATTATAAGGAAAAAATGATTTAAAGAGCACTGGTGCTCAACTTATGCTAAGTAATAAATGTAACTCAAATCTTGAGGCACCTTAAACTTATTATCAATTAGTTATTATGTCACGTCGCCAGTGCTTAGCACAATATGAATACCGATGCTTAATCTTAGTAAGATAGAAAAAAGTCTTATGCATTCATGTTTAAACAATTCAATTATGAAGATTAGTAAACATACTTAGCCCTCATTTGGAAGGTGAATTGGTTTTTGAAACTTTTTGAAACAATAATTTCAAATTAAGTAAAACAAGAACACATGATTAATTAAGCGTAAACAAATAAAAATAAGTAAAATGGTAGAGATGATGAAAACGATGTAATTGTGGGGGTTCGATCCAAACCAATGATCTACATCCTCCGTTACCAAGTTCTCCGTCATGAGCAAGATCTTTTCACTATATTGATTAACTTATGGTGTAATTCAAACTTTTACAACTCTTCCAGTCACTTATAAACTAGGAGTACTAATCGTTATACAATATTGAGCTTTCAAGAAACATCAATATGACCCACACAATGATTTACAACAATGAGCACCGAGCCTTATATAATATCGAGCCTTCAAGGGACCTCAATATGACTTATAAGTTTAAAGAAATTGTTTTACAATGAATGTTTCTCTCTTAATAAATGATACAAATGAATTAATCACGAACACGGGAAGAAAAATGATATTTAACAACTAATGTTTCAACGACTAAATTAAGTTTGGTCGTAGCAAAATGAAGAAGAATAATCAAATTTTAAATTAGTTGGAAATATTTTATAACTACCAAAATAATAGTTGTTGACTCCATATTTTCTACGACCAAATTAAAATTGGTCATTGGAAATGGATGTCAAATCAGAAATTTTCGCCAAAATGTATGTTTATATTCAACGACAAAGTAGCTGGTTGTTAAAAACTTGTGTAAAGATTCAAGGACCAAAATGTCTAATCGTTAATAGAGTAAAATAACAGCTAATTCTATTTCATTGTTGAAACTAAATGAAAATTCGACATTCAACGACTATTTCTTTAGTAGTCGTTAAAAATACAAATAATACAGTAAACATTCAACGGCATAATAAATTTAAGAGTACTTCTCCTATGAGATATTCAATTGGCAAAAATGAAAGGGGAAAAAACTGAAAATTGAATTCCAACAGAATGTTGTTTTAAAACACAAACATTTTTTTTTTCAAAATATTGAAAAATTCTTCTCTTTTCTTTCCCTTTATTCGTTTTCTCACAAGTTAAGCCATCCAACATATCAGTGACCCCTCTCATCTTCATCCCCTATAATCAATGGTGCTAAAGAATGATCGAGAATTTTCATTTATGGCTGGAGAAGTTTAAGTTATTTTGAAACACTCAAGAAAAAAAAAATAGTTATTGTTAGTGTTATTTTCAATTACTTTTCTTTACTTATATTTGTTTATGGTAGATTGATATGAATGTGTAAAAGTTATGAAGTTATTAATATTACTGTTAATAACCATATTTCTCGTTGTTTTAATACTTCGATTGTTAATATACTTTTTACAACTACTTCTTTTATTGATGAAAAGAAAGCAAGGAAATTTTAGTTGCTTCAACGATATTTTATCGATAAAAATAATTAATACAACAACAAATCAAACAATTGTTGAAATAAAATTAAATGGCTGTCAAAATTAATTTTTAGTGACCATTTTTTTGGTTTTTGAAATGAAAGGCAACAAAAATTTGGCTTTCATTATATTTTAACGACAAAAATAGTTGACGCAACAACCAAACAAGTAGTTGTTGAAAAAAGAATTGGTTGTCAATACAAACTTTTTACGACCAATTATTTAGTTGCTGAAATAATAAATTTATGACCAAACATATTTTTAATTGTTGAATACATTCGCGAACACTTCTTTGCCTACCAATGAACGACCAACCGATTTTGGTCATTGAATGTGATCAACAACCAAAAATGTATATTTTGTGACCATTATATAGTTGATGAAGGTGATATTTCCTGTATTAAAAGAATGATTAATATTTCAATGAATAGCAATAAACGAGTGTATTTGATATGAGGAAGTTGAAGAAGTAAATGCTATGTAAGTTCAAATGTTTTGCTCAAATATATTTTTCTCTTTTATAAATGATAGCAATAAATTAAGTATCAAAAGATAGATGAGAAACTTTGATGAATATGATGATTTAACAAGTATAATTCAATCAATCAAAGTTTTACATTTAAAGAAGTAGAAGAAATAAATGTAATATACGTTCAAAGATTTGCTTGAAGTGTAATTTTCTTTTATGAATGATAGCAATAAGTTAATTAGCACCAAGAGAGAGATGCTTTTTTTAAAAAAAAAAATATAATGATTTAAGAGTTTGATTCAAACAATAAAAGTTTTTTAATATGAAAAAAATAGAGGAAATGTGAAGAAATTGTTCTTTTCCTTTCTTATACTCACGTGATTACTACCTTTTAATTAGTTAATTAGTTTTGCCAGGTGTCCTTTTTCCATTGCTCAGTTTTTAGTATAAATAGGTTGGACTTGCTTTGTTGATTTATTTTTCACGAACGTACCAAGCATCTTGAGATTGATTGCCACATTGTGCGAGACAAGTTCAAGGAAGGCTTTGTTCTTCCTCAGTTTGTTTCTTCTTCTCACCAGTTGGCAGATGTTTTCACCAAGGCTCTGCCACTTCCTCAATTCCATCTACTTACCGGCAAGCTGGGCATTGCAGATCTACATCTGGTTCCAGCTTGAGGGGGGGATGAAGAAATTGTTCTTTTCCTTTTCTTATACTCACGTGATTACTACCTTTTAGTTAGTTAATTAGTTTTGCCAGGTGTCCTTTTTCCATTGCTTAGTTTTTAGTATAAATAGGTTGGACTTGCTTTGTTGATTTAACTTTTGGTTGAATAAAAGTCTTATTGAAATTAGCAGCGATTTCAGCTGCACAAACTGGTTTCATGAAATTGTTCAAAATGCAATGTAAGTAAGCTTAATGATTTTTTTTTTCTTTTAAAAACATGTTTCTCTTTTAAATACACTTCCAAGACCCTTACATTGAATGTAAAAAAAAAACCTATTTATAGATAAAAATTCATAAAACTTTATGTATGTTTGGATGAGGGTATGGGTGTCCGCCTTAAGTCCGAAAGGTCGAAATAGCTGTTAGAAGTCACAAGTTAAAATAGTAAAAAAATTTGACTGTTGGAGATCGCGACGTCCGCCTTCCATCCAACTTCTTCGTTTTGGCTTTGTTTGATCAGAATTGAATATTTTGAAAAATGTAAACTTTTGGAAAGTGTTTTTAACTAATTTTCAAGGTACATAATATTTTTAAAAATATAATTTAAGTTCAATTATTAATTTGAAAATCAATCTTACATTTGATCAAAATATTTTATACAAATGGTAATAAAAATAGCTTTTAGTGCATAAAATGGTTTTAGTGCTTTCATCATTTATTGTTGAAGATCAAAATATTAATATCTTTACATTTGAACTAAAATGTCTAATATTTGACCTTGAAATTTGGTTCTTAAACTCTTATTTTGAATGTTTGGAGGACTTGAATTTTATTTTCACCTTAATTTTGAGTCCGATTTGATAGTCTTGATTTTGATTTTTTGTCGAAACTTGTTTGTTATATTTAAGTCAAATTCAATAATAAATTTTAACCTCATATTTCGTGGGACTGACAACTTTCAACAGCCTATTTCATCTAAATCTACTAAAAAATGATTTTTATCTCAACCAAATAGGGACCTAAGTCACCTACTTGTGTGGTAAAAGAAGTTAAGGTCGTTGTTATTGTTTTTTAGTTGGATTAATTATATTAATTATTACAGAATAGTATAGAAGCATATTAGTCCATAATGATTTGTTAAAATGACAAATTGGTACAGGATTAGAGCTTAGTTCCCCTTAGGTAAAGGAAATAGAGAAAACAAATGAGAAAATTATGGAAGATAATTTACTTTTCAAATGAAAATTAAACAATCATGCTACATTAACATCTTGATGCAAGGGATCCGAGCCAGACGAGGCTGAACTGTCTGATAGTTCGTTAATGGCACTGAGATACAATGAGTTGGAGGATCAGCTCAACAATGGCAAGTAATCATCGATCTTTCTTAATTGGAGCCGCTTTTGGACACGTTTCGATATTTTGGTCATAACTTTGGCTACGGTTGTCAGAATCATGCCCATGACCTCAATTCGGAAAGCTCTTTCCGGCGCACATGTCGTGGGTACCTAGCTATGCTCGGTGTGCATCGGTTTTGAGGCCAAATTCAGATATTTTCTAACTATTTAACCCGATTTGTGGGTTATTTTCGTTCAATTGTTGAATAATAAAGAATTTTCGCGTTTCTCTTGGTGTTTCTCTTGCGTTCTTCTTTATATCTGTCAATTGGTTCCAGCCTGCAGAATAATCACTATTCTGTCCGGCGTCATATCTTGAATGACATATTTGATGACAAAATGTCTACGGGGCAGAAGTTCATT